CAAAACTAATATTTTAATTGTTTGTAAATTGCACTCAATTTAGTGAACATATCATTCACTTCTCAAACACCAATCATACTGTCCGTACATACAGTATATTACTATTCAAACCATTTATCAATTTATGAATAGTTTATATTAATTGATTGATTGTGTGTGGAATAGAGTGGACAGGGATGTAGTTATACAGACGTAGACTACATTATATCTATTTAGGTGGACAGGGATATGTATCATACCATCTGTATGTAAACTAAATATCAAATGAGTGCTCAGTGTATGGCCATCGATAGTACACTACAGAGTGGACAGGGATGTGGTTATACTATGGCACACGTCTACTATCTGCCAGATTGATGGACAGGGATGTGGGACACATACCATATGTAGTTCCTGTTTGAGCGCCTGGTTGGCGGACTCGCGTTTGATGACGAGGTCCTCCAAGTACTGGTACCTAAGCTTCTTGCGGGCCCTACACTCGCGCGCCGACTGCCGACTCCTCTCCAGCTTAGCCCTCACGTCAACCTTCGCGCCGACCCTCCGGTTCTTCCGTCCCCTCCGCGCCGCACGACTCCCTGTCCCTCCCTTTCCTCCGCCGCCACCACTGGCCGTCCCGTCACTCATCTGGTCGTCCGTCGGCTCACACTTCAGCTGATTGTCGCTCAACTGATCCGCGCAGTGATCGCTCGCCTCTTCCGCAGTCGTGTCCATCGCTTCCTCTTTGATCGCAACGATTGACATATTTTTACTCATTATATGTTTGACCCGATTATCACTCTATGGATCCGTTTGTCGCTCACAATCACACCATTCACTCAATCAATGATTTATTGCCACAGATTTGAAACGATTTAATCGATTACTAATGAGTTTAACACTAATTATGAGACAATTAATGCTTTTAATTGCAATTCAATTGGATTTATGTTTTCTATTGTTTTCGTTCAAAACATTTCATACGCAATGCATTACGCAATTAGTTATCATATATACGTTAACCATATATCGAACATTTAAATCCTTTCAATACTAACATTCTATAAGGTTCGTACGTAAAACGCATAATAAAAGGGTACAAAACCC